CCTCCCAAACTTTAGGCAACAAGTAATAGGTAAGAGTGATAAAATCCATATCCATGTCTTCCAAAACCTATCTATATTCACACATACATTTAAAGAAGCCATTGGTACTCAAGTTTTCTAAGACACTCTCTAAACTTTGCTGGTTGTTTTTGAAGCCATTTTTTGGACATATAGTATAATAAGACATTTTTGGTACTGTATGCAATCTTGGAAACCATCAAGATTGGGGGTTTTTAAACAGTTGACTCAGGACACTCTAATAAGCTGCAGAGGCCTGCACAGGAATGTGGGATGTATGTAAGTCTCTCAGTCCATCTGTCCTTCCGTCCTTCCTTCCTCTTCTTCTTTATTGGTGGTGATAGGACTTGAATCCAGGGCCTCACACATGCTAGGCAGGCACTCTACCACTGAGGCACATCCCCAGCCTTCTTCAGCCCTTCCTGGAACAGCTGTTCCCCTTGCAGCCACTGTACATGCTGGGGGTTCCACATGGGAGTGCACTGAACAAAGCGTGTCATGTGGTCAAGGACATGGTTTTAGAGAGAAAGATTCATGGCTTTGCTACTAAGCAACTTAGGGAACTCAAATTTTCCATCTATCAAAGGGAATGACAATATCTTTCTCAGGACAATTAACGGAATGACATTTACAAAGTTCTTAGCATGCAGCAAACTATTGATAAATGACACTGACCTTGGCCACACTCCTAACCCTAAGAGACATTCCTAGTTTTTTGTCCCTTTCAGTCCACCATCGAAAAGGGGGAGAACTAACATGAAAAAGGAGAGGGACACAGGACACATCAGGCCATGGTGATGAGGATGGAGCTCCAGAGAAGAGGAACAGAGGTGAAACACTCTGGTTTCCAAAGGATGGGATTTCAAGGGTTCTTCTTTTTCCTTCTCTTGGCCCCCTTGACCCTTCACTTTATCCAAGGTTGGGTCCTACCTGTGTACTCCTATCACAGATGAGGCAGCATGCCTCTTGGGAGGAGAGTCCCAGCTCTAGCCCTTTGAGGTCAGACAAGAACTGAGGTGGGCCGCAGGCCCCCAGACCCTAGGTGAAGAGTGCCCATGTTCCACACATAGCTGTTCCCCATTCTCCAGGGATACACATTACCTGCCATTAAGGGCAAACTTCATAACTTGTAAAGGTGTGTGGGAATTTTCTGAGTGAATCCTCTTTGGGGAGATTCTGAGGACCCTAGTGGAGCAGCCATCATAAAGAAAGTGACAGAAAAGAGATTTAACAATTCAGAGATCTCAACCCTGCTCAATTGGCATGGATACCACACCATGTGCTTCATCCACTGAAAGCTGTATAACTGAATAGAATATTAAAAAGAACAACTAGAACAGACTTGGTATATATGTAATTGGAGCTCAATAAATGTTTGTTGAATGAATGAATAAATAAATAAATGATATTTGAATACCTGAAAAATAAAACATTTCAAATTTATGCAATATAATAGTAAATCCAACTTAAAATCCAACATACAAAAGAGACTTCATTTAACATTTATATTATTGTTATGAATAATAAATTAATTGCCTAATTTAACTTTTAAGAAGTATCTACTTACCAGCTAAAGTGTCTCAATGATCTGTAAATTTGCCTGCCTCAACATGGGAGAGGGGAAATTTGGATAGGCAGCCTGAGTTTACTCTAGATTCTGTTACTTATGAACAAATCACTTCACTCTAAGCTTCAGTTTCCATTATTATGGGAATAATAATAATAACCACTCTGACCACCTCAAGGGTAAACTGTAAAAATCCTAAGAGGTAACAGATATGAAAGTGCTTTCTAAACTATAAGGTAAAACATTTTACCATCTAATTAGAATGATGCTTATCATTCTGTCTTGGCTCATATCACTTTTCCCACCGGGAATCTTCTGCTTATCCAAATCTTTCCCATAGTTCAAGGTCTAGTCTGCACTGTCCCCTTCCAACTCTGTTTTGCTCCTTGCCCTAATCATTCACAATAGTCATTTAATTATATTCACCCAGAGAGGTGGTATGGTGGGATGTTCAAAGCTCAGGAAGACCTGCATTGGGACCCTACCTGTAACAATCCTGTACAGAGACCTTTGTCAGGCTACCTTAATGTCTCTAAGCTTTATCTTCAAAACAGGAATGATGATGACTGCTACAGATTTGCTGTGAGAAGTGAATAATTCACTTAAAGTGCTCAACTCAAAGCCTTGTGCACCCAGCTCAAATTGCAGCTGTTGTAGCTGGTACATATTGCTAACTGCTTCCTGAATTTGTCCTGCCTGCCCCCGTCAACTGTATTTTAGTCATTGAGAGCAGGGATCCTATTCTATCCATTCTGACCCCATTCCCATTCCAGAAAAGTGTTGGGTTCATAGTATTTTCTCACAAAAACACAATTGGTGAAATGAATTGTTTTTCCCCAAACAGTGCTCAAATCTTTACTGTAGTTCCCTCAAACCAGCTTGAGAAAGTCAATGTCCATGGGGTAAAGTTACCTCTTCTGACCCTATTATCAAATTAAAAATGTGTGAGTAATTCCCAAAGCACTGAAGCCATTCACACTCTTGAGCTACCTGACATGTTGAATGCACTACCTTAGTTCACAGTCTAAAAATGTTCCAGAGAAACAGATTTGATGTGGGAACCTCTGCTAAATTCTGGAGCACTCTCTTTTCCCCTGGGACACGAACTTTAATCTTAGACACTGAGTGTCAAAGATAACACATACATTTGAAAGCAGAAAGTCCTATATGACATCATGGAGGCCATGTGTTGGCACTTTCCTACAGATGAAACAGTTCTGGAATTTTGGTCTCTAGCTCTCAAAGATGTCATAAACTTCATATCATAAGTAATATTAAAAGTAGCCTTGAAATTTACAAGATAAACCTGATTTAAATCTATTTTGAGGAGAGTATCCACAAACTTTCATGCTGTCAATGACAAAATTTCTAATTTCAGATGTTATCAGTGACTATTTCCAACTGCTGTAAAATTCATGTTTGTATAATCACTTCTACTCTTTTTCAAAATTTATCCTGAAGATCTCAAATGACAAATTTTCTTTGGGAACCATATATGACTTTCCCCAGAAAAGCAAAAGATTGAGAAATAACCTACAGCACACTCTTGGGCTGCTGAATTTTTTTGTCCCTTGATGTCAAAGGCCCCCCTTGACCAACCACTTTGAAAGTCCATCCCCAGGCTGTTATTTATTGGCATTCTCATACTTCCTCAACTCAAACTAGGAAAAAGGAAAGCAGCAATGTCGGCCACCTTCAATCCACATTTTACTGAATCCTGAGCACTCTGAATCCTGAGAAATCCTCGTGTTCTTCAATCTTCCCTCTTTTGTGTTCTCAACTTACTCCAGCACCCAAACTACTTTTTAAGCACACAGCAGAAAGGGGGTTGTAGGGAGACCTTCATTGAAGAACTAAATCAAGGACATGAAGTTCTATTTATATTATAAATGTAAATTTTCTACTAGAAAACACATTTTTTTAATTTCAAAAACTAAATCCAGTGGTACTTAAATATAGAATTCAACTGACCACATAAGGGAACGGCAAAGTGTACAATCCAAGACTCTCTCTTTCTGGGCCACAGCGGTTCATTTGAAAGCCTTTTGGGTTTTAGTTCTCTCAAGAGTCAACAGGTGCTATGAGCAGTGCTGGCCTCAAAGGAGAGATCCACGAATCTTCAATGATGGTTCAGTAAGAAATACTGATGTTTCTCTCCTATTTCACTAAGTATCTATTTGCCTCTTCTAAGCCCTTTGCAACACACTCTTCCTCTCCCTCAAAGTAAAACAGAGATCCTGATTAGAGCACACCATACCCTCCAGCTGTCATGATGTTTCAATTTAAAGGACTTATCTCACTGGTCTGAGCAGGGATCCTGCTACCTGAAGAACCCAGCCAAAAGGCAGTTCTGGTCCTTGCTCTCCATCAGTCTTGCCCTGACTTTCTCTCAGGCTTGCTTCCTGGATGTGCAGTACCTAGCTTACACCCTGTTACTTGGGGTTATAGAATATTCCAGATGGGCAAAACTGAAGCCAAATGCCACCATTCACAGTCTTTTCTGTCTTTATGGGCACTTTACTCTTAGGGAAAAAAATCCTAAGTCATTTTTGGTTCACATCTGCAAGTAACAAACTGCATATCCATAGTCCTTTGTGTACAGTATTTGTACCAAAACTACACATGGATGAAGTGGTGACACTTTTGGCTACATACTCATATGTGGAGCAACAACACTTGCTGGATGGTCTCAGAGACTCTGCGTTTGCTCTGCTTATCCCTGAGTTTAGCCAGGAACTAGGATGGTAGGAGAAAGGCAGAGCCATTCTCCTTGACCAGAAATGTTGGTAAGAAAAGAACACAAAGCCAGGAAAACGAGAAGATACTCACTGATAACTAGCACTATAAAGAAGTGGTTAGGCAGACAATCACACTTTTATTTTCCTTACGCTTTTTGACTGTAGATTTAATTTAATTTTGTCATGGCAGGATTAGCAACCAGGCCACAGAGGTGAAGGGACATTATAATAAGACAGCACATTAATCCTCTATCCCACCCAAGGCAGAAGCAAAACCAAACAAATAGCAGCTTCCTGGAAATTGAATTTCTGTTATCCAGATGTCAAAGATGTAATACCCCAATTACACAAACTATTGCCAGTGAAGCATGCCAGCAAATATGCAATGTAAATGGGGTGAGCATAGAGCGACAAAATTGCATGGTCAGCATCTGGCTCTGTGAGTGAGTGATAATTAGCACTGTGTGTAGACACTAATAAACATTTATGTCTGAAATTACAACTTTTAGCAATGTTAATAAGGGATATATTGGCAATCTGTAAAATAAAAGGTCTTGAAAAGAATGTCATACATTAAGCAATGGCAGACATTTCCCGTTCTCGCACAATCTCTTTTTCCCCCTAATTGCAAATGGCCACGCTGTTTTACTAAGAAATTAATTGACATAGGAACCTACCTAAAAAAATGGGTTGTGTCTCTTTGGCCTCCCCATTAACATCGTTGCTGAATTCTGAGATCTTATAAACCTCCTGGTGATAATCTGGTGTGAGAAAACAATAAAAAATTAGAATTATATTGACCTCAAGATAGGAATAAGCAATGAAGTCTAGACTCTCATTCTCTATGATATAATTTATAAACATGTTTTTGAGAACTCACTAATCACAGAATTTGTAGTAAATATAATCCCTAAAACTTTTTTTACTCTGAAGTCCACAAACTTGACAGATTACTTTGACTTTAGAAAAATAGCTAGGCTTGGTTACATGGTAAATTCTGTGCACCGATGTCAATTATTAGGTTTCTTTTCTTTTGAGACAGCAAGTATATTTATAAGGAAAAGAAAAATCTTGCCAAATCATAGGCCAGAGGAGGTTTCCAAATTTATCTCCACAACCCATTTTTATGAGCATATCAACAGTATGCTTTAGTTACCTGGCACTCTCAGTTTACCCAGAAAATCTCAGCCTTCAAGCTGCTTAGACGCAAGCACACATGAAAAATAGTAATTTGTTGCTTCAAGTACAGTATAATTTGAAAGGAAGCAAGATTTTCATCTTTCACACAAGTGGATCTTTCTCATTCAGCTATGGCACCTTATTTAATGTGCAAGTGCTTATTTTCTAAAAAATGCACCTGCAAAGCAAAGAGAAGACTCAGACCCAAGATTCAAAAAAAAAAAAAAGAAAGAAAGAAAGAAAAAAGAAAAACTTGCTATGTCAATTAATGTCTAAAAACATAATGTAATATTTTTTATAAGCTTCTCTCTTTAGAGGCTACTGTTCTCTGGCAATCTTCTGCTTCTTACAAAGCAGCATCACCTATGAATATTACTAGAGGTTTTTTTCTTAACATCTATTTCATTTTTTTAGCTTTAGATGTCACAGGACAATGTCGATAAAGCTACTCTCACTTTTAAGATAAAGTGGTATGCTCCCTGAGGTCATAAATAAGAAAGCAGCCTACATTCCTGAATGAATCAAAAAGCACTAACAGGGCAGTTACAGAGAGAGACTTTAAAGTACAAATAACTGAGTAATCAACACTCCTATGGAAAAAAAAATTTACAAAGAAAGAGAGAAGAGCCAAACATTTGCATACATAAACTATTACAGGCCTCTTTCATATAACAGTGCCCAAACTAAATTAGGGGAAACAGAGATTAGCAGATCCTCAAAATGTCTATAATTAAACCATTAGCAGACTAACTCAAAGCAGGCTTTATTGAATCCACATCTCAGTTAGTTTATATTAGTTGGGAAAACTTGATGACTTGCAATTGCCCTCCAATTTCCATCAGTTTACGTGTGACTTCTGCAGGTTGTTGAAACAACTGTGTGGCTCTTTACTCTGATGCCAAGGTTAGATAAAACAATCCAGGAAAAGTGGACAGGTTCTGTGGCTTGGCTTCGACCTCAAGTTGATTCAAAGGTATTTAAACAGGGTGGGTCTAAACTCAATATTAGGGCTTGTAACATTACAATGAAAAAAAAAAAGCCACCTGCCTCCAATTTAAAGTGACACAATGCGATTTCACATGTTTTCACCTCTGCTCTTATCTTTAGTTCTCATCATTTTTTAAAGAGTCAAATCAGGAAGACAGACTTTAACAAGTAACTGGGCACAGACAAGACTGGATTCAACTTTCCCCTTCCTTGACAAAAGGAAAGCCCAAGTGTGGCATACACCTGTTCCATGGTCAGGAACTCGCTGGGTTATTTGATTTTAAGGAGACTCATCACACTGGTATGTGATCTAGTCTAAAACACCTTTCCAACCTAAATCTGCCAGCTCGAAAAGATGTTAGATGTCAACATTCCGCTTGGAGCCTGGACACCTCATGAGCTTCTTTCTCCGTAAGAACAGCGATCATTTTGTACCCCCTTCTCTTTGGGGGAAAAGCAAAACAAAAACAGCAAATCCCCGGTCGGCGGGTCCGCGCTCGGCCTGGGCAGCCTCGCCGCCCCAGCGCGGCCCCGCGGCACCCCCGGGAGGGCTCGGCCCCCCGGTGTCATTGTTTGCTAATTTCCTGACATGCCCTCCGACTTGTGGACGTTAAATAACACCCAGCCTTTCCCCGCACAACTTTCCCCGGCGCGAGCGGGAGCGGCCGCGGGCCCCGGCTCCGGTGGGGAAGGGGGTCCGGCGGGCGCGCCCCCGGCGTGGACCCCGCGGGCGGCCAGGCGCTCGGGGCCGAGTGCGCGGCGTGCGGCGCTGCCTCCCGCCGCCAGCGGCCGGCCGCTTACCTTGGCTCACCAGTTTGAAGCTCTGGGATTTCCTGCTTCTTTTCCTCTCCGAGAACTCCATAGTGCGGGAAAGGCGGCGGCGGCGGTGGTGGCGGGGCTGAGGAGGCGGCGGAGGCTGAGGCGGCGGCGCGGGCTCGTGTCACCGCCGCGGAGCCGCCGGGACCAAGGTCCGCGTCTCGAATCGGCGGGGGGGAGGCCGAGGGACGGGAAGAACCACCGCGAGCCCGCTCGGGGGCTCCAGGCTCGGGGCCGGCGGCGCGGGTTCCCGGGGGAAGTTGGCCCCTCGCGGCGCGCCTCCCGGTGCCCTAGGCGCCCCCCCAGCAGCTCTCCTGCCCGCTCGCTCGCGGTTTCCAAACGCCGCCCGCCGCAGCCCAACTTTCCGTTGGGAGCGGGCCGAGCGGGGGCGCGGCGGCGGGGAGGGCGCGGCGGCGGGGGTAGGAGCAGCCGGGCGCTTGCCGCGGCCCGCCTGGGCTCAGCCTGCGGACGCGGCGGCGGCGGCGGCGGCCGCGGGGACACGGCGGGCGGGCGAGCCGAGAGAGGGCGGCGGCGGGTGCGGAGCCGGCCGGGGCGCTGACCGCCCCCGCGGGAGGAGGGGCGCCGGCGGAGGGGGCGGCGCCGCCGGGACCCCGGGGCCACCTGCTGGCGGAGCCCGGCCGTCGCCATCCCCGGGGGCCGCCGTCACCGGCCTGGCCGCGCGGCGCCCCGAGGAGGCGCGGAGGCCGCGGCGCAGCGCCCTGGCCCTGGCCCGCTGGCCTGTCCCCGGGACGCGGGGCTGTTTGCGGGTCTCGGCTCACAGAGCCCGCTTGCCGGCCGCCCTCCGCCGCTCCCCCGCGCCGAGCTTGTGCTTGTAAACGGTCCCGGGGGTCGTAGACCCTCAGTGGCCAGCCCACTCCTTGGCCTGAGAGCTGGGATGTGAAAGGGCCAGACTCACCGATTTTAGGCAAGTTTTAGCGGGTGGGGGAACTTACCCATCTGCGCTCTGCAAGGAAACGAAAAGAGATTTTAGAATTTATTGGTGGGAAGAATATAGAAAAGAGTAAGCTTCAATTCTAAATTTACCACGATCTTGGGGACTGTAGGAAGCTCCTGAGTTATAGACTAGGAAGAGCACTTGCAGTGTGAGCTTGGAGAGGGTGGAAGGGTGAGGTGTGCTTGATGGCTCTGTGCACTCTTAGGGAAGCAATGGTCAGGGCAGGTGCAGGGGCTCTGACACTTGATGTAAGATGCCAAAATAATCGACATAAACAGAAAGCCGTTATTAGTTCTGTGTAATATTCTTTGGGGAGCGAAGAGCACACTATAGGCACCATTTCTTGTTCACAACATCTTTAAAGCTGGATAGAAAAGAATTTTACACCACCTGGGATTGGCAGTACAGCAACATGATCTAACATGCTTGAAAGTACTGCCGCCAAACTGATCATTTCTAGCCGAATTACAAAGAGTAAAGAGGTGGGCTGCTCCTTCAGCACAGTGGCAAATTCAGATGGCCTCAAAGCGCAGAGAGAAAAAGAGTGACAAGATTTGTTAATAAATGTGATGAATCTCACTGAGGGTCTCCCCAAAGAGGAGAGAGCCACTCAAGAACTGCTATTCAACAGGGACACAGGAATAGGCAACTGCCGAGGAAGGAAGAAGTTGGAAGCAACTAGCAGAGACACAAACACAGAATAAGCTACAAACCAAGTGGTGGCAGCAGCATAGTTGCACATCCTGAGGTCTCTGGTAGCATGCAGCAGATGGGAAGGCTGGTTCTACCTGGCCTGGAGGTGAGAGAGAGAGCATTTCATTTAGTTCAGTAATGCAAATCCTTAAACTAAGAGAATCTTTTATGGTCACTCCTTTTAGAAGCTCAGGGACCTTTACCCAGAAATCATGAATGGGACAGATGAAAGTTTGTATAGATTTCTTTGGGCTCCATGGATCTTCAAGAGTTGATAGGTGATGGAATGAATTAAAGTGGTAACAGTGATTAAAGCAGCTACCCTATTTGCACCCCAACCCCTTTAAAACCAAGCTTAAAACCTAAAACTGTTTGGAATGTTTTTGTTGTTGTTGTTGTTGTGTTGGTACCAGGGATGGAACTCAGGGACTCTAAGCTACATTCCCAATCCTTTTTTGTATTTTATTTAGAGACAGGGGCTCACTTAGTTGCTTAAGGCCTCAATTTTGCTGAGGCTGGCTTTGAACTTGCAATCCTCCTGTTCAGCCTCTGAGCCACTGGGATTACAGGAGTGCGCCACTGTGCCAAGCTGGAATGCTTTTTAAAGAAACAAATGTTTTTTTTTTTTTTTTCTCCAGGCTGAGACCCATTCTTTCCTTTTTTGTGATGCCTTTTTAAATGTTTTTCCTGTAGCCACAAGGCTCAGTGCTATACTGATTGAGGAACATTGAGAATTATTCATGCTTTGGAGCATAAAATGAGATTTTATTGTGCTTAAACTATGATGAAATCATTGAAGGTGTCATCCCAAGAAGTAAATCCCTAGGGAAGATACAATTTAGCATTTTCAGTTCAAGTAGGATGTGAATTCCATTTGCCAAAGAGAATAGTTTTGATGTAGTTAAAATATTTAAAAGCAGTATTTAAAAATAATAGTCATTTTTCCTGGACTTTTTTTACCTGGTTTTCCAAGATGTCTATGAGTGAATTGGTCTGCAGAGAACCATAGGGCCAGCCTGTCCTATTAATTCTTTAGAGAAAATCAAGAACTATCTACTTATTCTCCACTTTGTGCAATAATCATGTCGTTATCTAAAAAAGTGTATAAATCCATAATTAGTATTAATATTAATCATAATGTTAAATTAGATTGTTTCAAGTGGGGTTTGCACTAGTCTCACCTTCAGGCCAGGTTCTATCTGGCCTGGAGGTAAGAGAACATTTCATTCAGTTCAGGAAAGCAAATCCTTAAACAAGAGTATCTTTTATGGTCACTCCTATTAGAAGCTCAGGGACCTTTACCCAGAAAACATGAATGGGACAGAATATCATAGACTGGATGACTTAACAAATTAATTTTCTCATCATTCTGGAAGCTAGAAGTCCCAGATTAAGGTCTAGCAGGGACAGTTTCTCATGAGGGCTCTTTTCCTAGCTTGAAGACTGCCACCTTCTTGCTGTATGTCCTTACACAACAGAAAGGAAGACAGAGATCGATCCTCTTCCTGTATAAGAGGCTACCTGTTGGATTAGGGCCCTATCCCTATGACCTCTTTTAACCTTAATTGCCTTGAATTAAAGATCTCCTCTTCAAATACTGCCATATTAGGGGTTAGAGCTTCAACATAGAAATTTTGAGGAGATATAATTCAGTCCATAGCAGTATTGTTTTTGTTTGAATATCTTGTTTGTGTTGGGGTGTCCTAGAAAGTCCTGTAGGAGAACTACTAAGGTCAGTTCTCTGCCTCGATACTTCAGAGCTCCCAAAAGCTTCAGAACCACAGATTTATATGTTACTAGAGCTCGGGGAAAATTGGTCAAATATTCTATGACATCATGCAGGCCAAACATCTTATTATATGACCATTCTAAAACCCAGTTGATTATAAAGATTAAACATAGGTTTTAATTTTTGACAAAAACAGGTAATTTGACCAGAAGACATTCAATAACCATAACACTAATTCTGAGAACTCTCTTTTTGAAAACTGTGTCTACAGAGAAATAAATAGTATTATGAAAATGTCCATCCTTATTTAGAACTTTGCTGTCCAATAGAAAAATAATGCAACCAGAGCATGTTAGCACACATCTATAATCCCAGCTACCTGTAGGCTGAGGCAGGAGGATGGCAAGTTCAAGCCCAGCCTTGGCAAGACCCTGCTTCAAAAAAAAAAAAAAAAAGGTCTGGTGGTTGTAGCTCAGTGGTAGAGTGTGCGTAGGTTCAATCCCCAGTATTGCAAAAGAAAAAAAAAAAGAGCAAAGCCATATGTAATTAAGTTTTCAATTAGTCACATTAAAAAAGTAAAGATGAATAGATTAAATTTATTTTAAGAATGTTTTATTTAACTGACTGCAATAAATATTTTGACGGTAAATTATTGAGATATTTTATATTCTTTTTTGTACAAATTTTTGAAACTGATATGTGGTATGTATTTTACACAAATCAATTCAAACTAGTTAAATTTGAAGTGCTCAATAGCCACATGTAGTTGGTGGTTACCATGTCAGACAGATCAGAGTTAGAGGAACACCTTGTTTGAACCATGCTATGGTACATGGGTAGGACTACAAATTGATTATTGTTTAACTTTTATTAATAACCCCCACAAAAGAAGGAAACGAGCAGAATGGTTTTATTGAACTTGAGCTTTTCATAAATCTTTGGATTCGCTGAAATTGAAGGGCCAGTCCTTAAATAGATTCTGGGGGATCCTTTAGAAAGATTTAATAAGTATAAATTTTAATTTTTAAATATTATGACAATCAAGTAGATAACCATATATTAGCTCCTGTTTCTCAGTTTGTTCCTTGTCTAATACAAGTCTGCATAGTCATTTACTTCCTTAGTTTTGGTGGTTATAATTTTTTTAAAAGGAGAAAATATATGAGATTACATCAGTGAAAGATTTGAGAATGCTCCACAAATAACATTGCCTTATATTTATATGGGGCTTCTCTTTTAGGAACTCAAGGATATTTACCACAGGATCTAATTCTCTTATTTAATCACTCAATGAGATTGGTATATATTAATGTTCCAATTTTGTTACAGAAAAATTCGTCTTCATGAGACCATTTTTTAAACTATAATGGCAAGCCAGTTTCCTGATTCTTTAAGTGATGAATTAGCCTTCCTCTCTTTCTCTCATGTTTTAAAAAATCAGCTTTTTCCCCATATTTTTTATTGGAGCATTATAGTTGTACATAATGGTGGGATTTGTTGTTTCATATTCATACATGTATACAGATAACAATATGATTTGGCCAATATCATTTCTCAGTATTTCCCCTTTCCTTCTTCTTTTCCCTTCCTGGTCCTTTTCCTCTTTTGTAATGATCACCCTTCAATTTTCATGAGAGTCCCCCCTCCACCTTTCCTTTCCTTTTTCAGATCTAACTTATATACAGTAAGTAATACAAGTGGACACCTCAGTTAATTTCTTTTACTTACACAGACATACCTATACTCCTTCAGATGAAGATAGAGAACTTTTCCAAGCCACCAGCAGGCTCCCTTGAGACCCCTCACCATAGTGCCTCCACTAGGGAACCATGGTTCTTTTATCACATAGCACCATAGCTTGGATTTGTCTATTGTTGAACTTGATATCTAAGGGATCATATACAGTGTGTACTGTTTTGTATCTGTCTTCTTTTGCTTAAAGTTATGTCTCTGAGAGTCAATCATGGTAGTAGTTTATTCTTTTTCCTTATTAATATGTGTATACCACTTTTTTATCCATTCTACTGTGGATGGTTTGTTTCGTATACTTCAAGTCTTGGTGCACATAAGCATATACTTTTTCATGTGTGAATATACATACATACCTGACTAGAATTGCTTAATCATAGTATATACATGTGTTTTGATTTAGTAAATTACTGTCAAACTAGTTTTCCTAAGTAGTTTTACCAGTTTACACTTCCACTAACAGTGTATGAGAGTTATAATTATTCCTATTTCATTACAGAAAAATCTTCACCACTTGACCTTATCAGTTCTTTTAATTTGGTGTAAGGGAGTAGTGGGTATCTCATTGTCTCATTTAAGATTTTAATTTTCATTCCTCAATTGACCAGTGATGATGAGAATATTTTCATGTTTATTGATCATTTGAGGATCCTCTTTTGTGACATCCTGGTCAAGTCTTGCTTGCCTTTTTTTTTTTTTTTAATTTGGCACTGGGAATTGAACCCAGAAATACTTCCACTGAGCCACATCCACAGCCCTTTTTATTTTTTATTTTGAGGAAGCATCTTGCTAAGTTGCTTAGGGCCTTGCTAAGTTGCCGAGACTGGCCTCAAAATTGCAGTACTTCTGCCTCAGCCTCCCAAGTCACTGGGATTGCAGGTGTACATCATGCCTGGCTTGACTCTTTTAAAAATTTTGCATTGCTCTTCTTTTTTATTAATGTAATGGGTATTCTGCATATAACTATTTTGTAGGATATTTATTTTGCTAATATCTTCTCAGAATCTGTAGCTTGTGTTTATATTCTTAATGATCTGAATTTTAATGAAGCTGTTTATAAGTCCTTTTTGTCACAGTAAGATATTATCTTGTATTCACATGAACTCTTAAAAAAAAAAAAACCAAAACTTTATCAGTATATTGGTTTCCTGAGGCTGCAGTAAAAAATTACCACAAATTTGATGACCTAAAACAATAAAATTTGTTCTTTCACAGCTTTAAAGTTTGGAAGTCTGAAATCAGTTTCAACAAAGTTGAGCTCCACCAAGAGGCTCCAAAGGAAAATCTCTCCAGCTTCTGGAAGCTGCTGGCTTTCCTTGTGTCAAGGCTCAGTCACTCTGATCTCTGCCTCTGTCTTCACACCTTCTTCAGATAAGTTTCTCTTTGTCTTTCTCTTTTAAGAACTCTTATGATGGAATTTAGGACTCAGATATGCTGAGATCCTTAATTTAATCACACCTACTAAAATCCCCCCCCCCCAAATAAGGCAATGTTCACTGGTTCCAAGGATTTAGCATGTAAGATCTTATTAGGGATCCATTTTTATCCTTGTAATCAAATCAACTCTGGAGCTACTAAACCTCAAGGCCAGACAGTGATATTATAGACAAAGTTCTGGCTAGGATTAGGAGTCAATTATTCATTCAGATATTTAATATCTATGGACTTCAACTTATTTCAATTATATAAGCTTATCAACTCTTCAAAATTGTTTGAGATGAAATCCTGCATGCCATTCTTGAGAAGATAAAATGGCATAATTTACCCTTGCATTGCAATTCTCATTTTTGCCATTGAATGAAGGTCCTAAATAAGTAAATATTTCCTGAAGCATTAGAGGAGTTCAAATTGTAGGGAACTCCTCTGCTGCAGTATGGCTGGGCACAAATGCCGCAGTCTGGCTGGGCACAAAATCACGAGCCACCACACAGCTTGTAGATTCAAACAGCAACTCTTTATTCCCGAACTCACCCCAGCCGTCTACAACCACGTTCTGGGGAAATCCACATTCTCTGCCCAAATCCACTCCCACTGGGTTTCTGTCTCCCCAAAAATACTGTCTGAATCCCGTGAGAACTCAAGGGGAACTCAGGCAGCAGGATACGCCCTATTCCCAGCAGGAATAATCTTAAACCTGGAACGCCCTAAACCCGATTATCCTAAACCGGGAACACCCTAATCCCGGATCCGCCCTGGTCCTTGAGCAAGGTCACCTAACTGCAATGTTGCTGGGAGCCATTAGCCAAGTAGGTATGACAATTTCCTTGCCAGCGTACCCCATGTTGCAGTGACATTGAATGTAGGTGACCTTGTTCAAGGACCAAGGCGGATTAGGGCGTTCCCGGTTTAGGTTCCAGGTTTAAGGTTTAAGATTATTCCTGCTGGGAATAGGGCGTATCTTGCTGCCTGAGTTCCCCTTGAGTTCTCACGGGATTCAGACAGTATATTTTGGAGACAGAAGCCCAGTGGAGGTGGATTTGGGCAGAGAACGTGGATTTCCCCAGAACGTGATTGTAGCCGGCTGGTGTGAGTTCGGGAATAAAGAGTTGCTGTTTGAATCTACAAGCTGTGTGGTGGCTCGTGATTGTGTGCCCAGCCAGACTGCGGCACAATGTCACTGCAAAATGTCCTATTTCCATGAGTCCTTCCACTAAGCAACATGGGGTACGCTGGCAAGGAAATTGTCATACCTACTTGGCTAATGGCTCCCAGCACTCCTCTATCTCTTTTGAAGCAGGGTGGTATAATAGTTTGGACAGACTTCCTGAATTAGAAACCCAGCTTTATTGCTTTCTGATATTCAGTTTGGGGCAATTTAGGGTCTGTGTAACACACTACCCTGTCAGTGTTTTATCCAAGGAAAATTTAATGTAAATTGTTAGCTCATCAATGATGTAAATTTTAACTATTAAAAGGGGTAAAAGAGGTTTCTACAGGAAGTAGCAGGTCAAAAAAACAGGCACTGCTTTTGGCTGAGGGAAAATGGACCATAATGGAAGTAGGAGTGAAGCCCTGCTCTTACTTTAAGGTTGAGATGCAGTTCTCTTGGAAGAACATGTGGCTATTCATTCATTTGTTGAAGGGCACCTAGGTTGGTTCCATAGCTTAGCTATTGTGAATTGAGCTACTATAGATATTGATGTAACTGTGTCACTATAGTATGCTGATTGTAAGTTCTTTGGATATACACCAAGCAGAGGGATAACTGGGTCAAATGGTGGTTCCATTGCAAGTTTTCTGAAGAATTTCCATACTGTGTTCCAGAATGCTTGCACCAATTTACAGTCCCAACTGCAATGATAAATAAAATGTGGTATATATACACAATGGAATATTCCTCAGCCATAAAGAAGAATGAAATTATGGCATTTGCTGGTAAGTGGATGAAACTGGAGACCACTAGGCTAAGTGAAATAAGCCAATCCCCAAAAAACAAAAGTTGAATGTTTTCTCTGATATGTGGATACTAACACACAATAAGGTGGGGGGAGAAAATAGACATTCAGTGGATTAGACAAAGGGGAATGAAGGGAAGGGAGAGGGAATGGGAATAGAAAAGACAGTAGAATGAATAGGACATAACTTTCCTATGTTTGTATATGAATATGGAACCAGTGAAATTCCACATCATAATGCAAGAATGGGATCCTAATTAGAATAAGTTATACTCCATGTATGTATAATATGTCAAAATACACTCTACTGTCATGTATACCTAAAATGAACAAATAAAAATATACTTTTACAGAAAAAGAAAATATGTGGCTACCACAAGAACACAGCCTATTAGTGTCAAAAGACTTTTCAGAAGGTGAGGACCCCAAGCCAGTCTGCAGAAGCATGGAGCTTCTGCAGTGGTCTGGGTATGCAGTTGGAACTCTGTCAAGCTGACCCCTGGGCTCCCTGCTGATAGTAACAATGGAGGACCACCACCTGTTCAGGAAGGGTCTTCCTGAGGTAATGACCCTGAAGCCCCGTTTAGTGCCCTCTGTTGACAAAGACAAACGTTCTGTGGCTCCTGAGAAGGTCAAGGCTCGGTGGGTAGAGTTAAGAGATTGTACAGGTAACTGGCAATTATACGTTCTCTATGCCTTATTTTCATCATCTGGAGACTAGAGATAATAATTTTATTTTCCACATTGAATTATCATAAAGAGTAAATGGATTAATATATGTTTTAGTGCTTAGTTTAGAGGCTAGCTTGTCTATGTCAGCTCTTCCAGTTGGCTCTTATTTATTACCTCATCCCAGGCCAATAGTAGCAGCTAATATAATACAGAAAGATGAGTCACTACCTCTACCCTCATGGAGCCTCATCTTTAATAACATTGTCAGACTTGATATGCTTCCTGTTTATATTTTAAGGATCAGTACTATCTCAAACCCTACCTATAGGAGTTTAAAGAACTTATTCCCATAGTAATGTATTACAACATTTTTATCTAGCTTTTTTTTTTAGCACAGAAGTATGCATGATATCTTTCTGTTTGATTCTTTAAGAAGAGAAATCAGTGAATTCATTCCTTCAGCCAATATTTATTGACTACCTACTTTGAGTCAGGCTGTGTTCTCTAGGGCCTTGGGACAGAGAGTGAGTAAGATAAAATAAAACAAAGATTCTATTCTTGTGAAGCTTAGGGGGCTGAAGGAGATGGGCAATAAATAAATAAAAATATAGGATCATTGATAAATACTATGGAAAAAAGTGAAATTAGGGGCAGAGAAAGACTTGCTTCTTTGTCAAATCTCACTTCTCAAAAAGATGCAAGTTTGTGTGTGTTTTGCTAGTTCCATGGTTATTTTGCAATCCTATGTCAGTTGTGGACATTAGAAATCCCCAGGAGAGCCTGTGCTGGGTAAGTGTTCCCTTTGCACATATTATGGTTAAATTTGAGTGAGATCCCCCTTTTAAAAAAATTTTGTATTTGTAGATGGACATAATTATTTTATATTTTTCTGTGTGGTGCTGAGGCTAGAACTCAGTGCCTCACACACGTGCTATGCAAGCACTCTACCACTGAGTCACAACCCCAGCCTGAGATTCCCCTTTAAAAAAAAAAAAATCCTCCCTTCACATGTTAGGAACTCTCAGAGGTCCTTCAGTCAATTCAGATTCAGTGTAGCTATTTGCACATATACAATGGGTTATAAAACCCTCTCCCAGTTGACATCCTTTATTCTCTCTTAACTGCCAGACTAGTGGTGATTATATCTGATGAGTTGCTAAACTCAATCTTTTTCACCTGTCTGTCTGAATACCAGCATCTCCTTAAATCTGTGTGAGGGGCCTCCATGTTAAATTTGCTTTTAAAAATTCTTCCACTTTTAAATATTCATGGGAATGGCTGATCTCCAGCCTATGAAATAAAGGTACAAGTTTGAGACTAATCTCTTCCATTTAATTCCCCCATTCCAGAGACTTTAGAAACAGGTCTGAAAATTATAGGAACCACAAATTTAAAAAGTGTTAGTTTGATGTGTCTGAAATTAATGCTTTAATTTATTCACCACAGAATGTCTTCACACATCGCTGTTTTCTGTAATTTATACCATATACTGTCTACTCCAGTTAATGTGTGAAGCATGGTTAAATTATGCCTAAAAAGGAACATGAAAACCATCTACATGATGGTGATGGGAAAAAGGGTCTAACTAGGAATAATGGGGCAAAATTTAAATGAGACAAATTGGAATAGAAGTTTCAGAAAAACTGTCAGGTATTTAAGACATGCCTGACTGGAATAATCTCCTCAGAAATAAGACTTTAAAACACTTAAGAGTAAGTCTACTAGAAATGGATTAGCAAAGTTCTAGAAAATATTTCTGTAGGGAATGCACAATTATATATGTCATCTAAAAATTGGATCAAATAATCAGATAACCTTTCATGTGTCTCGTATCTTCCATTTTTCAGTCTTTGGTTAATCATGTCAAAGGAGGTTTGGGATAAAGATCAAATGAACAATTCCATAGAAAAGAGAGGCATATTTTGTCAATATTATCTCATTTTGTTCTTTCCCCTGATATGTCTGACATGTTGAATGGGACTCTCATTCATTTTTTTAATGGCTAATTTAATGCTGGTGAAGGGTGCCAAACAGATAACCAGGAGGCGGAAGTCCATTGTACTCTTCCCTGACTTTGCTCCTCAGTCTCATTCTAAAGGAGTCTGTGTAAGGGCTGTCAAGGCAAGATGATCTTTAGGTGGTTCAGTGTTGTTTTGTTTTTATTTTTGAGATTACTAATGCAATACTAATTAGTGTTTTTAAATGTTAGCAATTCAGAAATTGTATTAAGCCACTACCTATGTGCAAAGCAATTGGTCTGATTTCAAGTATTGTAGAAAATACATATAGGGAAGGATGGCTCCTGCCTTCAAAGAGTGTACCCTTGAGTAGCCATTAAAGTGAGAAAGAGGCTGGGGATGCACCTCAGTGGTAAAGTACTTGCCTAGCAGGTACCAGGCTCTGTGTTTAATCCCCAGCACCACAAATTAAATAAAATGAGAAAAATGTTGTCTTTTTAGTAGTGATGGGCCATCACTACTGAAACACTAGAAGCAAAATGGGAATGGAATTCAGATAGGTCAGGGGTCCGAGGGTGTGCAGAGGGGAAGGCAGCAGGAGGCCTCAGAGGAGGAGGAGAATTGGGTAAGTATGGGTTTATTTCCCTCTGACATGCTTGATGGATTTGTTTTTACTGAGATTTCAGTAGAATAACTTTAAAAAAGAGAGTAGAAGATGTGAAATAGCTTTTGGAGTTCTGCAGAGGAGCGGTAAGCAGGACAATCTCTAACCTGCTTCTGCATAAGCCTTTGCTCTGAAGTTTCATCCTGCTCCTTTCATCCCACACTTTCTGAGGGCCTCTCTGGTCCCTGCTGTGTCCTTAGGGAAGCCCTGCCTTCACTGAGATGGCACCTCATCATTGAGGTGTGAAGGGGACACTTCTCCAAGTGTCCCCAGACTATTCGGGCAACAGAAATGGTTATAGAAGAAATGGGTAGGGCAAAATTAAATGAGACAAACTGAAATCAGAGTTTCAGAAAAAACCGTCAGAGTGCGATAAGCACCTCAGAGAAGCCTTTAAAACATTCAGAGTATGTATTCTAGAAACAGATTAGACAAAGTTCTAGAAAGTATTCTTGGAGGCACAGGAAGCACTTCGCCACTCAGCACCCACCGTGGCTACTGCTGTCTGTACTGAACTACTGTGTAATTGATTGGTGTAGGCCTTATCCCTTTCTCACTGCATTAATAGGTGATCTATCTCTTTTTCCTCCACGGAGTGGCTTACAATTGAATTCTGTACTCAGAAACACTTCTAGGAGATCTATATCTTACGCAATAAGTTAGCTTTTAAAAACAGGAAAGCAGAACAAATTGGATATATATCATGACAGGTGATTTTTCTGGTTCCATAATTTGATTATTTGTAATTAGTTATCTATATAGATGCATTTATACACCTCCCATAATTACTTATTTAATTTCTAGTGTTTATAATTTCATAACAAATGAAATATAAATATATTCCATATTGGCATATAAAATAATGATTTAGTCATATGCAGTTAGACTGCCACAGCTTCAATCTCTGCTAAGAATTTGGATTAGATTCCTGTTTTTTTGTTTTTTATGGGAATGATCAAGATTGAAGATAAGAAAGTGAGAATTAGTCAAATTAGACTATATTTATCACTTCAGATGTTCACTTTTCTTCTCAATCTGTATTAATATTTTTCAAGACAAAAACAATCATGAACTTTTCAGCACTTCTGTGATTCCCATCCCCTCCCTCTTTTAAGTTTTCTTGCTTCATGCAGTTACATTTTATGATAGTATCTTTGATCTACATGTTTTCTTGATTTGGCAAAGCAGATCTTCAGATTTTAAACATTCTTACAAGTACTTTCTTTAAAAGTGAGCTCATCTGTACAAGTTCTGCTGACAAGTAAATTTTCACATGGCTACAATCTCATATACTCCTTAAGGACAGCTGACTTGATCTCTGTAGCATACCTATAAAACAGTTTCAACTGCTTAAGTAGTTTCATGCTCCAGACTGTTTCTGTCTGACCCAGCTGTTTTCAGAGACTGATTTTGTTTTTGTTTTTTTTTTTTAGGGTTTTTTTTTTTTTTTGATAGCCTGATGCTTTAGGTAGGTATTTTTTTTTTTTTAATGGGGTGGGCAACTCAAGTGATAGTACATTCCTAAGAATTTTCATTTTTAACACAAGGCATTCACTTTTGGTTGCTATTCTTCTTGCCAATTGTCATAAATTAGTAGATCTAGACGATGGGGATCCAAAAGGAACACTCAGTTGAATTTGAATATCACATACAAAATGAATCTTATCCTTTTTTTGTTGTTGTTTTTGCATAAGTGTGTTCCATGAAATATTTGGGACATATTTACACTAAGAATTGTTTTTTTAATGTGAAATTTAAATTTAAGTTAACATCCTGTGTTTTATTTGGGAATCATATCATAGGTAGGAATTTCTGCAAAGTTCTAGAAGAATATGTGGGATGAAAACTATCACAGTAGCTGGTTGTTGAATTGTGGCCCCAGGTGCTCCATGTTATATACTATTATTAGCAAAGCCTTTTTACTTTGTAATGGACCCTGTTAATATTTCTGCAACAAAATTAATGAATGTTCATATACTCTGGAATCAATTGAAATTATAAGTATACATATAAATAGCTCATTTCAGGTTTTGCCAGTAAATTAATTGTCAAAAATATTTTTCAGAAATTTTCTGGATTTTAAAATTTGTAGTGATTTTTTTTTACCTGCAATTTAATTTGTACTTATGGAACCTATGGGCATAAAACATAACTGAGAGAAGATATGGCATGACTGGGAAGGAAGAAAGCTTCACAGAAGAGGTGGTTGTAAAAAGATTAGTTAGGAAGGATATTCCAAATCAAAGAAACAGTGTTGGAGGAAATTTA